TCAGTCATTAAGCATCTGCCATCGGGCTCCCTGCTCGTCAGGAAGCCTCCTTCTCCTTCCACTCCCCCTGCTTGTGTTCCCTCTCTGGCTGTGTCTCTGTCAAATAAAAAAAAAAAAAAAAAAAAAAAGAACAGTACCTGGTAGAGGGTTAACACTGCATATGTGTTGGCTGTTTTTATTATTTAATGAGATGACAAGTTAAGGGAAAATAATTTATTTCTCAAAAACTCAGGTTTAACAAGGGTAGATATAATTCAGGGATTTTAGTAATATAGGCCGTCCCTTTAACATTTATTAGCAAATTTTACATTATGTATTTCTCAGAGCAAGTTTCCAACCAAATTTTTTAAAAAAGCTTTATTGGAGTATAATAGACACAAAATCTCACATATTGAAATGTACAATTTAAACAGGTGCCTGGTAGCTCACTGTGATCCTATAGTGGTTAGTGCCCTGCGCTGTGAAATGTACAATTTGAAAAGTCCTGACATGTATACACAAATCATATTCTCACTACAATCAAGATAGAGAACACATCCACTACCCACAAGTTTGTGTACCAGCTTGTACTCCCTTGTTTCTCTCCCCTAGGCAACCACTGATCTACCTTCTGTCACTATACATTAGTAAACTATTATGTTTCATTAGGAGATGGTGATATGTATTAAACATTTAACTCAAGGTGGAGAAAAAAAAATCAAAGAACATAGAAAGGTAGTTAACAACAAAAAAAGTTTTTAAAGATGAAGGTAATTTAGAGTATTTCTGTGAAGAAATTAAAAAAATAAAAGTTACCAATGAAAGCCTGATGGGGTGCCTGGGTGGCTGTCAGTTAAGCGTCCTACTCTTGATTTCAGCTCAGGTCATGATCTCAGGATAGTGAGACTGAGCCCTGCATCAGGCTCCACGCTGGGTGTGGAGTCTGCTTAATTCTCTCCCTCTCCCTTTGCCCCTCCCCACCCCCACCACACCCACTCACACTGTCTCTAAAAAAAAAATAAAAACAAAAGCTTGAGAAAATTTTACTTCATTGATAAAGAGTTGACTTGTGATACTATCTAGAAACTGATGGTGTTACTGACATCTTTATGTGGCTTTCGTATTTTTACATTTCATTCAGTAACTTAATCAACAAGGGTTGATTTGTTGTTTATCTGCGTGAGGGACTGGAAGGGGGCACACTTATGGCAGGGAGATCACGGAGACCTGTGCTATCCAATACATTAGCCACTAGCCACATATGGCTACTTAGTAATTTTTAAAGATTTTAAGTAATCTCTACATCCAACGTGGGGCTTGAACTCACAACCCTGAGATTGAGAGTTGCATGCTCCACTGACTGAGCCAGCCAGGCACCCCAACATATGGCTATTTAAACTTAAAAATTTAGTTCAGTTGCACTAGCCACATTTTAAAGTTTCCAGAGTCCTACACATGGCTAGTGAACACCGTATTAGACAGTGCAGATACAGAAATTTCTATCACTGTTGAAAGTTCTATTGGACAGAGTTGATTAAGAAGATTCTTGAGGTACATTATCTACAATGGAGGTGGAGAAGGTCTAAACTGAAGCAATGGCAATCAAATGGAGAGGAGGGATCTCTAATGATACTTAATGTACTGCAGAGTGAAGACAGGTGGATTCATTTAGGATGTCTTCTATGTTTCTCCCTAGGTAAATGGGTGGATGGTAGAACCATTCACCAACAAAATATAGAAGCAGGATTTGGGAAAGCGGATAAAATAATATTTGTACTCAGTGAGAGGTAACCCTTGCAAAGGCCAGTGGTCTCAGAAGCTGCTGGATCTCAGAATGTGATCTGTGGGGAGTCTGGGTGGAGATAGTGTTCCAACAAAGGAATAGTAGCCATGGGTAGGGGCCACAAGGGGTCTCAGAGAAAGCAGGCTGCATGATGCATGAGATGGTCATAGACTAGCATCAGAGCCTGAGAAGTCCTGGCATGCAGGGTAAGGTTTTCAAACATGAGTAGGTCATGAAATCAGTGACATAGGTCTCCACCAGCCTTAAAAAAAAGAAAAGTATAGAAGATATTAATATGCTTTGCATGTAATTTGAGTAAAGATCTTTAACTGAAACTTTTGTTATATTTACACAAATATATGTATATTGGGTTATAAGGTAAAACATATTTTTGGGTTGTGGTCCAATTAGTTTGAATGTCACTGATTTATAAAATGAGTACCACAGACTAAGCTACATGCAAACTGGAACAAGTGTCTTTTTCCTCATTACCTAAAATCCTGGCACATAGTAGACACTCAGTGAAGACATAGTATGTGAAGGAATAAATCAACAGGCCAGAGAAGTAAGGGAAACCCAGGACAAGGGTGACTCAGAAGCTAAAGAAGGATGAGAGAGAATAAATAACCCAGTATCAGATGTCAGTGATTTGGTGATATTCAGAGCATGGATGATGACCTTATGTCTGCAATTTCTGTGGACAGAAGCAGAAGCTAGACTGCAGAAGTAAATGGGAGAGGAGTGGAGACAAATGACAAGGGAGAGACATTTGTTTTGTATTGAAGATGTCAAAGCTGAGTATGTGTCTGGAAGAGATATAGGAAAGGCATGCTCTAAAACTAATGATTCCATTCATTAGCCATATGTGGTTGCTATTTAAATTATATATTTTTTTTTAAATTTTCTATCATGAGTTGAAATGTCACCTTTTTTTTTTAAGTTTATTTATTTATTTGTCAGAGAGAGAGCACAAGCAGGGAGAACAGCAGGGAGAACAGCAGGCAGAGCAGCAGAGGGTACAGACTTCCTGCTGAGCAGGGAGCCCAATGCAGGACTCGATCCCAGGACCCTGGGATCATGACCTGAGCCGAAGGTAGACACTTAAGCGATGGAGCCACCCGGGTCTCCCTAGAATTAAATTTTAAAATGCTGTTCCTTAATAATACTAGCTCCATTTCAAGTGCTCTATGGCCACATGTGGCTAGTGGCTACCATATTGCTCAGAGCTGACACAGAACATTTCTATCATTGCAGTAAGTCTATTGGAGTGCTGTTCTAGAAGAAAGTTTTAATTCATCATGTCTGTGCTGGCCTCCATAAAACAAGCCAGTGTACACTGCTCCCAAACTGCTCCTACTTGAAACATTATCCAAATCCAGCAAAAAAAAAAAAAAAAAAGGAAAAAACACTGGAGAAATTACAATCAATAAATGATACTACATTTGGTCTCAGTGAGAGTTAGCCCTAGGAAATGCCGGTGGAGGTATCAGGGAGGCTAGTGAACTTCAGGATGTGATCTAAGAGTAGTCTGGGAAGTACATGTATTCATGATGTCATCCTACCCAATGCAACAAAAACATGTGACAACTAGAAGAAGCTCAACATTGCTAACGACTGAATGCACAGGGAAAAGGACCTGTAGGACAAGGTATAAGGATGAAAGATACTGCAGTAGTGCTGGATAGAAAAGGTTGGGAGAATTCAGGCTAGGTTAGATAGAAGATGGTGGGTAAAGTGGGAGTCATTACAGTGAAATTCCAGTTTTAAAAAATTAAAGTTACTAGCAGAGAACAAATAAATACATTGTTTCTGACTTCTGTATGTAATTTTCCTGGCTACCTTAATAACAAAAAGGAATATGACAGAGGACAGGTGTTATTATCCACAAGATCCTCTACTTAGATGCTTTAACTGTTTCCCCCTTACTCACTGGAGAAGTTACTTCTAGAATTAAAAAAATAAAATTTCCAACTTCGTGGAAAAAAATCTTTTAAATCATTTATTTGTTTTTTAAAAGATTTTATCTATTTATCTGAGAGAGAGACACGATAGAGATAATGAGAGAGAGAGCAGGAAAGGAAGGAGGGAGAAGCAGACTCCCCGCCGAGCAGGGAGCCCAAGGTGGGGCTCAATCCCAGGACCCTGAGATCATGACCTGAGCCGAAGACAGACGCTTAACCGACTGAGCCACCCAGGCGCCCCTTAATCACTTTTAAATGAATATATTTGGCTCTACTTCTTACATTTTTTTTTTTTTTTTTGTGGTTATTCTTTTGGTGAGGGAATGGAGGGAGGAAATCCAAAGGAAAGAAAGACTACTCAGTCCATTTGCCTTCTCCACCTCAGGGCAGGTCTTGAGGTGGCTCTGAGTAAGTCAGGTCTTTTGCAAAAATTAAACACGAATTCTCAAGTCTTCCCCTTAAGCCTCGCCTGGCAATACCAAGAAGTGACCACCGGGTCGTTCAGGTCAGGTCCTTTCATTGATATACAAAGCAATACAACAAACTCCTCGCGGGCTTTTAAGCACCGAGTTCAGGTGGCCTAGGGTTCTCACTGGTGTTCACCGGGGAGGAAACGACGTTCTGTGGGAGAGGACCCGGCTCGGCGAGGGGCTGGCGAGGCGCCGCGCCGGGATCACCGTGATGGCCGGAGGCCCCGAGGAGACACATTTACCTATCAGAGCTGTCCGTTTAGCCATCGTTACTAAGGGCACCGCCGACTTCCCGGAGCGAGCAGTTAGGGCTGTCAAACGACCTTACGTCCTAACTACGGAGTAGGCTTGTCTCAAGACTCGAGCCACCTCACTGCCTCCGCGTCGAAGCCAACAGGCTCACTTCCGGCGCCGCTTCTGACCTCCCGGGCGCAGCCGGAAGTGGCTTTCCGGCAGCCTGCACGCAGCGCGTAAAGCAAGATGTCAGCGCTCTCTCCGAAGCGATTGTCCAATCTTCGTTTTATTTCTACCACTTCCCTATCCACCAGGGAATCTCGACTTCCATCACCGATCCAATTTTTCTCAGCATAACATGCTCATGTTTCAATTTCATTCAGCTGGGGTGGAAGATGGGCTGGAGGCAATGTACAGCGACGACCATGAGCGCCGTAGGGCACCATTTTGTACGGAAATCAAAGGCCGGGCGGGGACGAGGTACTCGGGAACCCAGACGTGGCCCCGCGGACCAGAGAGCGTGTGGGGAGGGGCGAAAGGGCAGGAGGGCGGTGTTAGCGGATGATGTATTTCCGCTTCCTCTCGGCTGAGTCGCATTTGGTTGGACGGGCTTGTTGCGGGGAGGGAGGGGGAAGATTGTTTGCAGTGGAGGAGCTCAATGTACGGGAAGGTAAACTGAGGTAAGGTTCTGTGTCGCGGGGGGCTGGAGACTTTGCGCCCGGCTGTGTAGGAGGACTGGGGGCAGGGTCTTCGGGATTGAGGGTGAGTGTGGGGTTGGAGAAGGGAGGCTCAGACTGTCCGCAGGTTTGGAGAGAGGTGGGGCGGGGCTGGGGGGTTAATAGGTGAATTGCAAAGCTGGGGTCGGGGGTGGGGTGGAGTAGGGGCGGGCGGAAGGAAAGGGAGGGTGGAGAGAGGGTCGGAGCTTAGAGGCAAGTCTGGAAGCGCTGGTCGGGGAGGGGCTGGGACGCGGGAGGTGTAGGACCTCTAGTCCTTGAGGGCTGAGGAAAGTAGTTGCGGTGGGGTCTGCTCAGAATATGGGAGTCTGGAAGGATGAGAGTGGAGTTATTGAGAGGCTGAAGGTTTGGAAGGGTCTGGTGGCCCAAGTATGTTTTGATGCTGCCCATGTACTTGGCCTTTGTTTCCCGTGCAGCTCCCCAGAGACTGTAATCCCGCAGCCTCGGTTCGGGCCCAGCCTTCTCTCTCCAGCTGCCACCACAGCCTGGAGGCGCCTGCCTCCGCCCTCCCGAATGGTGCTACTCCTCGCAGGCCTCGGCCCAGGATCCAAACCCCCTTTGCCCCCCGCCTCGGAGCGGTTGCTCCGGGTCGCTCCTGGTGGACTCCCCGTGACGGGCAGGGAAGAACTTTTCCACAGACAAGGCTGTAGCTCCAGGAGCCCCACCGACGACTTGAATCTTGGCCTCTAATCCAGTGTGAGGTTATTCCTCTGTCCCCTTTTCCACCCGCCGAGAAGAGAAACCCTTCTTCTTGCTACCCAGAGCCCAGGAAGCCCCAAGCTGGGGCCCTGGTCCCAGCATGTCAGTCCTCTCTTGTGCATAGGGCTGTGCCCTCTCCCCATTAGCATGGCTGAATTCAGGCCGGTTCCGGGGGGGCGGGAGACCCCGCAGGGGGAGCTGCGGTCTGAGGTGGTAGAGGATGAAGTTCCTCGGAGTCCAGTCGCAGAGGAGCCCGGGAGAGGCGGGAGCAACAACAGTGAGGCCAAATTGTCTCCAAGAGAAGAGGAAGAACTGGATCCTCGAATACAGGTGAGAAGACTAAGGGGAAGGGAGAGCCCCGGAGCCCAGATTCCAGTTTTCCTGAAGAGCTCTCAGATGAATGAAGGGACTGGGGCAGGAAAGGAAAGCAAGCTTGTCAGCAAATCATGGCAGTATGGTGGGACAAGTGCTAAAAGAGCTGCGTGTGATGCCAGAGCAGAGAAAGGCCTGCCTGAGTGCCTGGGCTGTGTTCCTAAAGGCTTAGCTGACAGTGAAGCAACAAATTGGCATCAGATGCAGGGCCTCATTTAGTTCAGTGGGGAGTACAACCGTTGTACTCCTTTCTGAATAAGTAAAGGGGCTGTTGGCTCAGAGATGCGATGTGAGAGGGGGTGATTTTGAGATTGGGAGGCAGTTTCAACCCCCTCCCCCCCGCGCCAGTGCCTCCCCAGGATGTTCACATCTGTAAAGGGTAAGACGTTTCATGTCTTATAATGGCTCAACAGATGGAGGCCTACAAGGAAATCCAATGTGTTTCGGGAGTTGTATCTGCCATGGTCAGCCCTTAATAATACAAATTCTCAGTTCTGAGGATGCTGGTTGTATCCAATGAATGGAAAAGCTGATTTATTACCTTGGAGTATTTACCGGCTAGTAGTTGTTAGGATGGGCAAATCTTTGAAGAGGACCTTCAGAGTGAAGAGGACAGACACCATTGCGGATGAGATGCATGGTCGGCCAAGGTGGGATTGTAGTGTTTCCCGGCAATGACTGGAAAAGCTACTTGGGCAGGTGAGGGCAGGAAGTTCTTGTGTGTTGGGGGCTAAGTCTGCTGTAAGGTCTGGCAGCATCTCTAAGATTTTGATGTGTAGGTGACTCACACCCCTTAGGTGAGCAAGAGCATCTCAGGGCTTGCATTCCTGGGCTTCTCTGCCAACAGACCTTTATTAGATTGTTTCTGTGAGTCAAGAAGAAATCAGATCTGATCCTAGTATCCTCCTGCCCTCCTGGTGGGGGTTCTGTGGACATTGGGGCAGGGAAACTGTGTCCATGCTTTCGTTGGAGCTGTGGTGAGCCATTTGTTTACTGGTGTGTCAATAATTTATTTCTGCCACGTCTCATGGCTGTTGCATTGAAAACAGCTCAGTTTCTCCTGCTAATTCTACAGATTTGTCGCCTACTGAGGAAGTAAGTTGTAGTGAAAACCACGTTGGCTGAGACTGAAGCAACCTCCAGCCTCATGATTTGTGATTTTCATGCAAGTTATGTAATCTCTGAGCCTCACCTTCATCTATACAGTGAGGGATTGGTCCGGCTGGTATGCACAACTCATCGCTCTGCTCTGACATAGTCCTGATTCTTTTCTGTCACAACTCTTCTGTTTATCTCTTGGTGAAAGTTTGTAGGTAGTACTTTGGGAAAAAGACCCCTATCTGTTCTGCGGGGGGGAGGGCTGTGTGATGCACCTCATACATCTCCTTCCAACGTTCCTTGCTCTGCTCCAGGGGAAAATCTACTGTGGGTGGATTCTTTGCTCAGTCTCTCCGGCTCCTGTGTGTTTTTCCAGTGCCCACACAGGCAAAGGCTGCAGTGTGAAGAATCACTCTTATGTTGTGCTGTTCAATAGAGTAGCTGTTAGCCGCATGTGGCTATTTAGGTAAGATCAATTAAAATTAAATAAACAAAAATGCAGTTCTCCAGCTGCTGTTGGTATTGCAGAAGTAGAACATTTCCATCATCAGAGTTCTATAGGATGAGCTCTGTGAGGGTCAGAGAGTACCAGGCAGGCATAAGATTTGCCTTGAATCCAGGGACCTTGCAGTGTTACTGGAACGAGAAGGACAGGCAGACCGTAGTCTCTGTTGCTAAACTGGGAGGCACACGGTGGAATGGTATGGGTTATGTAGGGAGGGAAGGTCTCGTAGAGGCCTCCACCTTTGATGGCATCCTTGTGGCTGGGCCAGTGCTCTGTCCTTAGCAGGGCCTTTGCATCTTCTTGCCATGTGGGAGAGGTAGCCTGATGTGAGGGGCACCTCTCACAGAGAAAGCTGGTAGCATTCAACCTTCTGTGATTGGAAGAGATTGGGGCATGTGTCATCTGAGCTCCCTCTTGGGGTTGACAGTGCACAAGACCATGTTATTCTGGTAACTGTGTTTCAGTGCTTTAAATGGATTCTCAGTGTATTTTGTGGGTCTCCACCAACAGATCTGTCATAATCCACCAGCAGGTTTTAAAAACATCCATTCCTGAGCCATACCCACACATGTGAATTCTGGTCTTGGTGGGGTGAGAAGTGGATCTAACTTGCAGCCTACACGTCTCTACTAAGCCAGGGATATCCCACAGGCTAGGGACTCGGTTCACATATTTTCTTAAACTCCCAGAAATGGTTGCTCTTAAGGCAAGGCTCTTACTCATGTGGGAAATAGGGTTTCTTGGCAGGCAGTTCGTGTCCCTGTTGTCTGGTGGGATGCCTCTGGAAGTTGGAGGGAAGCCAGCTGGAGGCCAGCTCTAGGCCTCCCTGGAGTGTGCTATCCCCCCAGGGAAGGCCACTGGCTTAGTCTCCATGTCTTGACCTCAGCATAGTTCTCTGAGGCCTTCAGGCTGGTCCTCAGCTTTCTGAGAGGGTCCCAATGGAGTGGAAAAATGAAGGAGGGTGGTGCTAGGATGCATCTGCATCTCTTCCCCTGTGACTTTCTCAGTTCCTTTTGTGATGGGCGCATTCATCCTCAGGTGAGTGGATATAGTCACTTACCTCCGCCGTAGACTCTTCAGAGTGACTTTGCAATCTCTTCATCCTTATCCAGAGTATCAGGTTATCTCTCACAGGACAGTCATAGTTCCCTTATTTCTCAGTCCTTGGGCCATGCATCACTCTGGCCCTGCATCACCATGGGTTTGTGTCTTTTAATGGCCTGCACAAGGTGGGCAGGAGCATCTGTCAGCTGAGCACCCATGCCTTTGACTCAGTGGCCTGGCATCTTTGGAATGCGCCTGGTGTGCCCCAGGAAGGTCACCCTCCCTGCTGGTTGCAGGCTCACTGATGGATGATGCATGCTGACTCAGACTTCATTGTGTTCAAATTCTGTTTCAGCCGGGTGCCTGGAGTCCCTGGTGGAGCAGGCCAAATGGAATGTGTTGCCAACTTCCCAAAACAGAGCCCTGAGTGCTCGTTGGCTTCCCACTCAGCCTTGCCCTGGGTCTGCCCCAGCCTGGTTGTCCACCCTGCTCTCTAGCCTATTCTATTCCCCAGTCTCCTGGTCCTGTTAGTAAGAGCTTTGCGACTGGGTGGTGGACCTCATCATCAAGAGATTTTAGTTGCTGGAAGTGCTGTGTGGGCGCAAGTTCCCTTACAGAAAGATGTGCCCACTCCTGCCCTTTGCCGATAGCAGGAGCCCTTCACATCCTTTTTCCAGTGGGGATGATTTATGTAGAGCCATTCGTTCCTGTGATGACCTTGTTAGGATCCGGGAGCACTTTTGGCCATGGAACTGAGTAGGATCCAGTCTTGGACCTTGGTTTGCCCGTGGGAATGTTGCAGGATGGCCTTTACTGACCCCCTCTTCTCCTCTAGAATCAGTTTATTGCCTCCTGAGGCATGCATGTCTTTTTCCTACCAGGACTGTGGTTTTTCTAGGTGATTGTACTCCTGTCTTCTCGAGACATCCATCCAAGAATGTCCTTAGTCCTGGGATGGTGGTTACAATAGCAGGAAAGCAAGATTCCTCATCAGGTCCCAGATCCAGTTTCAATTCTGCCCCTGATTCCCTGCTTCATTGTTTCTTACCTAGCAAATTTGAATGAGCTGAGAAAGAATATTCTTGCAGGAGCTGCTGAAAGCACCGTTACCTCTTCTCCCAGATAGTCTGAAACCCGCTGTGGGCCTAATTAAGCCAGAGGAGACTAGGCTTACAGTGGGAGAGGTTGCCTCTCATCCTAACAGGAACTGCCTTTTTTTGAGGGCCCTTGGGGAGATTCCATCAACTGAAGGTGATGTCTTGGGTAGGAAGGCTCTGTGAAACCTAGAGCTCTGTGTGTCTGGTGGTGCTGGCTCTGCCCCTGGGCCTCTTCTGGGGTCCTTTGAGCCATGTCATCTGCTTATGGTTCCACAGTGTTTTGTTGTGATCTTATAGTCACTGGGTTGTGTGACTAATGTGCACCAACTTCTAGACCCACAGTGTCCAGTGTGGGAGCCATATGCCGTTGGTCAAGTTGAGATGTGCCCTAAGGGTCGAATGCACGAGGATTTCAAAGGCATATGTTAAAAGGAATGTAAAAATGTTTTATAATTTGTGTTGTTAACATGTTAAAATTATAATATTTTGGATATTTGGGTTAAATGGAATGTATTCTTAACAATTTAACCTGTTTGCTTTTGCATTTTTTTAAATGGTTGCCAGAAAACTAAAAATTCAATGTGGGGCTCACATATTTTTGTTGGACTGTTCTGCTCTGGAAAATTTAGAGCCAAATTTATGGCCTTCTTTGAGGCAGGGTCTGCATTGTTATAGGCACTCATATTTCCGTATCCTTGTTCCTGGTTCTGTTAAATGTTTCTTCCTTTCACTGTAATTTGGGCGTACAACTTGGTTTCCTGGATTCTTATTTGCTGACTCAAACCTTTTAGGGCTTGAGGAAAGGCATAGAAATAAAAAGACTAAAAGAGGGTCATATACTGGATTGTTGGAAGGGCCAGATGAGGTGTGTGGGAGCCAGTGATGGCAGCATCGCTCACTGCCAAGCGCAGGTCAGGTCTGGGTCATGGGCAGCAAGCAGGCACAGGCTGGGTTCCACTGTCCTCTCCAGGGGTTGCAAGGCTCCTGGGAGAGAATCCCATAGCTGAGTGTCAGGTATTTCACCGGGCATTGCTCCTCTTTAGGAGTGTCCTTGGCAGGGTGGACTCAGGACTTCTCCCTGAGGTTCTCCCTCGCTGCCACAGAATCTGTTGTGTGAGGACCTGGGGTCTTGTCAGCCCACTGCCGAAGCAGGCCCAGAAGCCTCTTGAGCCATGTGATCTTCCGTAATCTTGACCTTAATTGTCTATCAGACCCTCATGAGTCTATGTCCTGCATTTGTCTGGTATCTGCCCTGTCCTCTCCCTCCTGGAATACTGCAGACAGCCTCCACTTTTGTCTCCCTGGCCCTTGTAAACTTCCCTCATATTGCTCAGATCTGCCTTCCTAAACCACAGACCAGGTGGTGCCACGCTCTGGGAAAAGTTGTGGTCTCCTTTCTCTGTGCCCCAGCCTTTCTGGCTTCTTACCTGACAAGCTGCGCACCTGCCCTCCTTCTGATTCTTGGCGCCTCTCCATCACTGGTGCTTTTCTATGTACCCATCAAGGCCCCGCCTAGGAGCAAGTACTCTGAGCGTCCTGCCCAGGCAAGGTGACCCTGCTGCCCACACCATGCCCGCCTCTTACAGCTGCTCACACTGACGAGGGCCTGCTGCTTACTTGTAGGGCTGTGAGGGGCCACCTCTTTGTTTCCTAAATTCTGGGGTCTCCTGATGCTGAGCTGTGATGAGTATGTAGTAAATGTGTGATGAGTGAGTAGCTAGGGGTAGTGTTCTCTGCCAGGAACAGAGACTATTAGCTCCGAGGAGACTCCTCCTGGCTGGAGTACAAAGAGAAGGTGGCACCGTCTGATGGAGAGAGGGCAGGCTTGCTGCCACTTTGCTGATGGCATATGTGTCTTCCATTTTCTGAATGTTGATTTCCTCATTGTTACGGTGGGGGTTTAATGACCTGTTGCAGAGGTGGAGTTGTGAGGATTGCAGGAGCCTCATGCATCTCTTCCCTTCTCTAGTCGGCGGACTTTCCCTACTTGCATTGCACTCCCACTCCATGTGGTTCACATGAGGCTACTTTCCACTCCTGTAATTTTTTGCCCATCTTTGGCAGGAAGAACTAGAGCACCTGAACCAGGCCAGCGAGGAGATCAACCAGGTGGAGCTGCAGCTGGATGTGAGTGTTGCTCCTTTTCCTCACACCCTTGGGCTGGTCTCGGAGGTGTCTCCTTCTCTCCCTGTTCAATATGGTGGCAGGGGAGGGGGCATGTATGAAAAACAAGAGGGGCTGGGACATGCCTTCCCACATGCCTTCCCTCTGCCCTGTGTCCCTGTCCCTTTGCCAGGAGGCCAGGACCACCTATCGGAGGATCCTGCAGGAGTCTGCAAGGAAGCTCAACACGCAGGGTTCCCACTTGGGGAGCTGCATCGAGAAGGCTCGGCCTTACTATGAGGCTCGGCGTCTTGCTAAGGAGGTATGGCCAGCTGACGTGCATTGCAGAATGGCCACATGCAGAGCCTGGCCCTGGACTCTTCTGTCTCTGTGTGGAGTGGAAGACAGAACAGTTTCTCATTTCCTTTTTCTTTTATGTCTCTTCCCTTTGGTTCATGTCTCTTTTCTTTGCTCATCCCTCCATTCCTTTACCCATTTCCTCCCCTCTCTTTTTTTTAAAGCACAAATACTGTGGGTTCATTATTGGGAGACTGTAATGTAACTGTAGCTATAAAACAAGAAGAAAACCAAAATCACCCCAAATCCTACCATGTGCATGTTTCATGGTTTTTGTACCTAGGATCTGTTTTGGTCAAGTATGGTTAGGTGGCAGACATAGAGACAGCTGCCTTGAAAGAAGAGTTTATTACTTAACATTTCCAAGAAGAAAGGGCATGCCATAGCACGTAGGGGACAGAAGGCACGTGAGGAAAGCTTGGCTCAGAGCCTTCATTGTGCTTATAATGGGAAGGAATGGGTAGGGCAGGGTAGGCAACATGGAGCAAATTTAGAATTAGATAGCTTGAATAAATGCGGGCTCTGGGCTAGAGCGCTGGTTTCTATGTTTTGGTACCTGGTCCAGGGGTAACATAGGGCAGGGGAAATACTGGCATGGGGTGTGAGAGTTAGATAAAGGGGGTGGTGGGATTTGGATTGGTTGGTGTGCATTTGAGAAGTGTGCTCATAGAGGAGTTTACTGTTTTTAGGACTTAGCTAGCCCTAGGAGGGCTGCAAGGCCCCCAAGATGTCAAAGCACCATGAAATATAGAAAATAAAATACATAGTTAATACAGCACGGATAACCCCTTAATTTTTTTTTGTATATATTTTGCCAAAATGAGATGACCTGGTATGTGTTATTTTTATTCCTTTATTTTATTTATATTATGACATGGTTCCATGTCAATAAATACACATCCATGCTGTCATTTTTAAGACCTGCCTAATATTTCCTTACATTATTATTATTATTCATTTAATCAGTTCCCTCTAACTGAAAACTTGGGTTGGTTTCCATTGTTTTGTTTGGTAAGCATGGCTGTGATGAGTATCTCTGAGCACTTGTCTTCCTTCAGCTTACCTACTGGACTGGAGTTGATGAAATCACGGGCGTGCTTTCTTTAAGACTTGGTCCCTGTCGCTAACCACCTTGCAACTAAAGTGGTGGGGATTTTTCTTTGTTCTCCCTAAGATGAAAAACGCCAGTGGCCTTTGTAAGTGCTGATTTCACACACTCACCCTCTAGTGGCAGTATCGTTTTCCAGTCTTTGTTTCTACATTTATTTCTTTTAAGTCCTATCCTTACAAAATATTCTTTATAGAATGTTATTTTTTTGGCACTTACGCTCAGTGCAGTTTGGGCAGTGAAGCTGACGTTGCATTGGGCCTTCTCCTCCTGTCTTCATCCTCTTAAGATGGGTCTCCACAGGCGGGCAGGGGTCCTTGGGGCTCCCCATCCTGATGGCCCACTCTTCCCAGGCCCAGCAAGAGACCCAGAAGGCAGCGCTGCGGTACGAGCGGGCTGTGAGCATGCACAATGCTGCCCGGGAGATGGTGTTTGTGGCTGAGCAGGGTGTCATGGCCGACAAGAACCGGCTGGACCCCACGTGGCAGGAGATGCTCAACCACGCCACCTGCAAGGTGAGCCAGGCGGTGCCAGCAGGTCTCCTCAGGTTCGGCTACTTCCTTTGCTCTCCTTTCATCCCATCGCCCTCCTGCCTCCTATCTCTCTTCTCCACTCCAGACTTGCCTCAGCTTTGATTCTGTTTCAGGTGAAACCTCTTCCTTGCTCTGTGCCCTGGTTGGGCTTTGCCAGTGTACCTTGTGAAGTGTAATTTGTGTATCATTTCTCAGCTACTCAAAGGAGTGTGGGGAGTGGGAGGAGTACTGCTATCAGCTGCAGTCTGCCACCTTCACCTTGTATAGACGTTAGTCCATTGGGGTCGTTAAAACAAAATAATGTAGACTGGGTGGCTTAAGCGGCAGTTTATTTCTCACAGTTGTGCACGCTAGGAAGTCCAAGCTCAGGTGCAGGCCGGTTTGGTATCTGGTGGCGAGGGCCTGCTTCCTGCTTCCTAGACAGCTGGCGGTCTTCTCACTGTGTCCTCATGAGGTAGATGGGGTACATGGGAGCTCTCCAGGACCTCTTTTATGAGGGCACTAATCCCATTGAGACTGCCCCCCCCCCCACATAACCTGATCACCTCTCAGAGGGCCCACATCCAATGCCATCACCTCAGAGGTTAGGATTTCAAATAGGAATTTTGGGGGGATACAAACATTTAGTCTCTAGTAGCAAATGCGAGCTCCTGAAGGATGGTCATGTCTCGAGGGGCAAAAGCCTGGCTCCTCAGTCAGTGATGTATGTCCTCTGCCCCATCTGGGCCAGGTGAATGAAGCAGAGGAGGAGCGGCTTCGTGGTGAGCGGGAGCATCAGCGGGTGACTCGGCTGTGCCAGCAGGCTGAAGCTCGGGTCCAAGCCCTGCAGAAGACGCTCCGGCGGGCCATTGGAAAGAGCCGCCCCTACTTTGAGCTCAAGGCCCAGTTCAGCCAGATTCTGGAGGTAGGGGAGTAGTGGGAGAGGGGGAGGGTATGTGAACCAGGCAGGAAGGGGGCAGGGATGGAGAGTGAGGGCAATTCAAGGGATACCTCTCTGGGCCATCTGCCAGACCAATGTGGTGGGACAGGTGCTTGGAATGACCCACAGGAGTGGGAGTTGGGCTTGGAGAATAGGTACCGGCGGAGAATGGAGTCAAAAGGAGGTAAATGAGAAAAAGTGGGAATCAGAAAACCAGGGAGAATGGGGATAAGGAACTGGCCAGCCAGGGAAAGGGAACAGTGGGGAGAGGAGGAGTGGGTGGGAATGAAGACCTGGGGGGAAGGTCTTAGAGGTCAGGCTTAGGTGAGGAGCAGGGCAGGATGGCTGGGGAAGAGGAATCAAAGAGGAGGAGTGAGGGGGAGCTGGGCTGGGCAGGGTGGAGCACTGCAGGTTTGTGTTGGGTGGTCTGGGAAAGGAGGCACTGTGCAGAGTGCTAGTGGGGCTGAAGGGACTCAGCTCCAGGAACCGTGGAGTTGCCCGTTGGATCACCTCACTCTGTTCCTCTTTCTGCAGGAGCACAAGGCCAAGGTGACAGAGCTGGAGCAGCAGGTGGCCCAGGCCAAGACTCGCTATTCAGTTGCCCTGCGCAACCTGGAGCAGATCAGCGAGCAGATTCATGCCCGGCGCCGGGGCCAGCCCCCTCATGGCCCAGGCCAGCGGCGCTCCTCCCCCGTGGGGGCAGAGGCTGGGCCTGATGGTGGGGAGGATGGGGACAGTGGGATCATTGAGGGGGCTGAAGGTGGGGGCCTGGAGGAGGGCAGTAGCCTGGGGCCTGGGCCTGCCCCGGACACAGACACGCTTAGCCTGCTGAGCCTGCGCACGGTGGCCTCGGACCTGCAGAAGTGTGACTCTGTGGAGCACCTGCGGGGCCTCTCAGACCACACCAGTCTGGATGGTCAGGACCTGGGCTCCCGGAGCGGGGGCCGTGGGGGCCGCCACCAGCGCAGCATCAGCCTGTAGTCCATGCTCAGGGTGGCTTGTTCCTCTTTACCACCACTGGCCCATGTAGGGCCAGACAGGCTCCAAGCTACCTCTCCTCAGGTCCTTGCTTCCCTTGGAGAGGTCAGGCCGGCCCTTGTCTCTGGTGGATTTCTCCCTGTCCCTGCCCTCCCAGCTCCCTCCTTGCAGGTGGCAGCTCTCTTTGCCTTACCCCTTCAGAAGGCTTCTCTCTGGCTCTCACGTTTGCCCTCTCCCTGCTAGCTCCTCATGGTCTGATGCCGTTTCCTGCCCCCTTTCTGCTTTCCTTCCATCTGTCTGGCTTTCCCCTCAGGGAACTTGGTCTGGAGGCACAGGGAAGCCCATCAGAGAAGGTGGGTGTGGGACCTGAGTCCTGGCATCTTGGGCCCCTAGCTCGAGGAAATAGGTGTCCCTTCCACCTCCCCATCTCCCGAGGGGGCCTAGGGATGCTACAGAGCTCTTCTGGCAGCCCTGTGCCCTAGGCCTTTGTCCCAGCCTGCCCATCAGGTAGTTGTAAAATGCACTGTAGGACTGTGTGCCTCTGGAAAACACTACTGATCCGTACAGTGCTCCCTCCTCATGACCTAAGCCACTTTGCTGTGTCCTGCAAAGCAGGACTGGAAGGGTACCAGTGTCAGAGAAGGTGAAACGCAACCCCACTGTCAACAAAGAGGACACCACCCACTCCAAATAGGCTCCCATGTGCATGGTGTTTCCGCCAGCTGGCCTGGGCCATTAACATTGCTAAGGTGCTAGTGGGTCTCTAACAGGGTCCGTGTTGGGAGTTGGACATGTAATGAGGTCCTGATGGTTGAGGCCCTCGCCATTCCTGCTGCAGAGTTGGGTTTACTTTTTCTGGGTAGAGGATGTTGAGCTGAATCTCAGCACCCTCCTGCAGGGTGGAGTTAGGGAATTTGGTGCTCAGTTGCTCTCCCTCTCTCCCAAACCAAACAATAGCTACTCCAGGATCCCTAGGGGGAAATGCTCAAGTTTGGCTGCAGAGCCTTCTCTGTCGCCGGGAGGGGTTGCCCTGGGAAAGGGGATCCCTCCTCCATGGGGAGCAGTTCTGGGTGTTTGGTGGTGCTCCAGGCTATATGGGGGGAAGGGTGGGGAAGCCACGCTAGATCTGGGTGCCTTGGGAGAACGGGTCCTTCCTCCTTTCCCACCCTAAGAGGTCTGAGAGGTGGACTCTGGGCAGGATAGCTTGTGCCTAGGCCATTGTGCTGCTGCCATCACCTGGGAGGAGTGGGCTTTCACATGGAGGGTGTCTCCCTGTGCTAAGGTGGTCACTATGAAAACCACTGGGTTTGAGGTGGCCATGGTGGAGGGAAGAAAAGGAGGGAGGGCGTGGGCCTGCGTGTGTGCATGGGCTGGGGGAGTGTGTGTGTGTGAGAGTGTGAGTGTGAGAGAGAGAGAGAGAGAGAGAAAAGGGTATGCCCCTGATTTTATTTAAATAAAATAGTTTATGTAACAGTAACGTTTGCTGTCCCTGTCAGGGGAGGGAGGAAGAGAAGGGCGGAGTGTGTGTGTGGGGTCTCTTTTGCTGGGGGAGTCAGGGCAGGGGAGATGGCCCCTCCTCCCACCTGCCAGGCAAGGAGTGGTCTGCAGGGTGGGGAGAACATTGTCAGCCACTGGTGGTCTAGAAAAGATGAGGGCGCCAATCCTGCGTGTGTCGATGTAGGCATGAGGGAAGGGGAGGGACGAAAGTAGGGTTGTAGGAGACTTAAACTTCAGATAGAATTTTTGCCTCCTGCGATGTTTGGGACATACTTATACTAAGTTTTTTTGTTTATCTAAAATTTAATATAGATGAAAGGTGACACTCAAATCATTACTTGACTTGTGGGGTGCAAAGGATTTGAGTGTGTTTGGACCCACATCCTGTGAAATATCTAGTGGAATCAGGTGGGGGAGGGATGAGAACTTCAGGAGCCGTGGATGTGTAGAGTGAAAGCTTTGGATTGAGCACCATCAGCCTCAGCCCCAGAGGTGTGCTTATATTTCGAGCCAGGTGAGGAGAGGGTCAGCCAAGGGCTGGAGAAGGCACTGTAGGAAGGAGGGCAGGAGACCCACTGGAAACTTGATGGGGGATGGGTGTCCTGAAGACCCTTGGGCAGAGTGAAGGCCAGAAGTTGGGATGGAAGGGCAGAGCAGTGCCCCTGGTGATTTCAGACGGCAGATGGGCCATCAGGAGCCACTGTGTTCTGAACATGCACTGCAGGTACTGTCTAGGTGTGACACTGCCTTTCCCAGCCTGGCCTTTTTTTTTTTTTTTAACCAATATATTTTTCTCACAGTTCCAGAGGGTCAGTCCAAGGTCAAGCTGTCGGTAGGATTCGTTCCTTCTGAGGGTTGTAAGGAAGCATCGGTTCCAGGTCTCTCTCTTTGACTTGCAGATGTGTCCCAGTGCCTTCACCTTACCTTCCCTGTGTACATGTCTGTTCACATTTCTCTCTCATAAGGGTACCAATCATGGAGGATCAGGGTTCACCCAAGTGACCTCATTTTACCTTAATCACCTCTGCAAGGAGGTGACTCCGACTGCAGTCACGTTCCGACTACCTTACAACTTCAGCGTACGAATTCTGAGGGAGACAGTTCAGTTTGTAACAGCACAAAAGTACAGTCATCCCTCTAAACAATGCAAATGGTATCTGATCCTGTTCTTCCCATTGCAACATCCCTGGACTTAATCTACCATTTTGCTTATTGGAATGCCCTTCAACTGACCTCTCTTCCCAATTGAGAAATAAAGTGTGGTAAGGCAGATGGGTGCCAAAATACTCCCTTTATTACTGGAAAAGTTGTTAATGAGAATGCATGGTCTATGTCCTTGGACAAGTAGGCTTTCTGAGATGACACCGCAGGGTCATCCTTCCTTACCCAGTCCTGCAAGTTTCTTGGTGTGAAGGAGCCCCAGAAAAGAAGGGCTGGCTGTGCCCACCCAGTTCTCACCAAATCACCTACTAGATAAGAGTGGAGAGCTAGCAAGAGAGTTAAGAGCTAATGGTGCTGCTTCCATGTGGAAGAAAACAACCATGGCAAATATGCCCCCCCCACCATCCTAACAATAGTGTCTTGTACTTACCCAGTATGTCTCGTGCCAGGCATTGTGAATTTACCCATTCCCACGACAGCCTTATGAGGTAGGTAGCACCATGACTGTCTTTTCACAGATGAGAATACAGGCATAGTGGGGATGCCTAGTTTGCCCCCAGCCTTGTAGAAGTTAATGGAGACATTTGGACTTGAGTCCACAGGGACCAGAGATGAGAAAGTGGTGTGGGTGTAGTCACCTCTTAGGAAGTTTTACTGGGGAGGGGGGCTCAAGGAATTTTGTTTTAAAATGAACAAGAGATGGTCAAATTGGGGAGGTGTCTCATTTTCCCCATTCCTGTATGATGTTGTAACACTGAGTAGTAAGTTCTTCTGAACTATGTCCTCCCCAAGTGAGCAGTTGGGCCTCAGTCTCCCCAGCACTTAATACATGCCTGACACTTAAATATTCAGTAAACATGCTTTTGCATCTCCCTCCTCCCCCCAGTCCAAATCTATGCCACGTTACTTTGTTAGACCGTGGTTAGGAGGTCAGCATCTGTATCCACAGCCCTATGATCACATCTCCACGTCTCCAGGGGGCCGTTCTCAAATTTCTCTAAGCTCCAATTTATTACCTCTAAAATGAGAAAATCTAGGTGTGCCTAACACTATGCTAGGTCAAGGGGTGTTAGCCGCAGTGAGCCATATTAGTGGCTTCCAGATGCAGTGAGCTGCAGTTAGGAGGCCTCCTTCTGTCTAGTGCTAGAGAAGGAGGCTTTTTTATAAAGGTCCCAGTGAGGTTTGGGGTAGTCACCCTTTGCCTTCGTGTGCGGAGCGAAGACGGGCTTCTCGGGTTGTCATGGTCCTGCTCTGTCGGCAGAGGGCAGCAGGCACCAGAACACCGATGGAGAGCAATCTGAGTCGGCTGGCTCCTGGTCCTGATTTTCCTGCAAGCCTGTGAGGTTTGCCTCCTTGACATTTGGCAGGTGGTCCTGGGAGCCTGGGGTGGAGGGGGGGGTAGGAAATGGGGTGTATGCATCAGAGTCCAACCCCGTCTGTCCCCCCATCTGTCCCCACCTGGGCTTCTTGCATCGCTGATGTGCTTGGGATGGTCTGTTGTGTGTGAAAACTGCTTCAGGTGTGTGGGGGCACCAGGTCATTTGAGGCCGGATGTTCTGCGCTTCTTTTTCCTTTCTTTTTTTAAGATTTTATTTATTTATTTGACAGAGAAGAGTTTGCGAGAGCAGGAACACAAGCAGGGGGAGTGGGAGAGGGAGAAGCAGGCTTCCCGCCGAGCAGGGAGCCCGATGCGGGGCTCGATCCCAGGACCCCGGGATCATGACCTGAGCCAAAGGCAGATGCTTAATGGCTGAGCCACCCAGGCGCCCCATGTTTTGTGCTTCTTTGATGCCCTGTTTGCCTCAGAACTCACCTCCTTCCTTGTCCTCCTTAGTGCCTTGTCCCTCTACCCTTCCTCAGCCTCCTTGCGTATTCCCCTCGGGAAGTCCCTTTGGCTTCCCTCTACCACCACTCCTGAGCCTCGGGCTTCCACTCTGTCCACCATCCCTGAGCTCTAGGCTGCGACCCTGCAACATACCCTGAATTAAGGGAACCAGGGGACCATTTCGCTGGCTGGCAGAAGGATGTGTAGTTTGTTAAATATTTAGCAGGATCTTTTAGAGTTGCAAATACTGTGGTAGGACTTGTTACAAATACCAGAAAGTATAATCGTGGGTTGGACATCGAGTTAAGGAACACAGGTGGATATAGGGTACAGGTGATACAGGGCAGTAAACAGATGTTTATTTTTTAAAAAAGATTTATTTATTTGAGAGAGAGAAAGGGGTAGGGTCAGAGGGAGAGAGAGAATCTAGGCAGAGTCCTCACTGAGCATGGAGCCTGACTTGGGGCTCTAATCTCACGACCCTGAGATCATGACCTGAGCTGAAACCAAGAGTTGGACACTTAACTGACTGAGCTACCCAGGTGCCCCAGACAAAGAGATGTTTAAGAGGGCTGCAGTCAAAGAGAGGTCTGGGAGGTTAGGAAACGGAACAGAGGGCTTTGAGCAGGGAACTACTCTCTGAAGCTCTGGACCAGTCCCTGTCCTCAGGCTGGAGAGGTAGTGATAAGAATCTTCCTCTTACATTCCCTTCTACCATTCCTCTTGCCCCCATGCTTTACTCTTCTGAAATTGTCCCAAGCTTCTCTGGTCAGGGCCTGTGGCTCACCTGTCTTGGTATTCTCAGGGTGAGGCACAGGGCACTTTTCACCAGACATCTGTCCATTGACTTGCTTATACTTGTGCTACTCTTGGCACAACTTTTCTCCCTGCTTAACCTGCTAGACTTCTGCCTGTGGTTTGAGGCCCAGCTCATGTGGTCTTTGGGCCAAATCCCCAAGGTTCCATTGACTTCTTTTAGGATTGGCTCAATGTCACTCCTGGTGTCATCCCTGACCCACCTCACTCAACACGTAACCTGGTACAATAGATGTTCTACAAAATAGAGTGACCATATATCATGTATGGTCTAAACCGGGACACTTGAGTGTGAAAGGGGGCAGATGCAACCCAGGACTGACCATGCGGTCCTGAGAGAGCTGTCATTGGCCTGCCTCTGCCATGCAGGGGTGTGTGCATATGGATGAGGCACTTAGCTCCTCTGGGCTTTGGTGTTCCAGTCTTCAAGAAGGGGGGCCAGACTGGGTAGATAACATCTTAGCTTATCAAAAGCACTAAAATGATATGGCTGGTGGAGGAGGTTGGGGCCTGTGAGAGGTATATTGGTGAAGGCTCTCAGATGGTGGATGTGTTTGTAGAAAGTTATGGGGTCAGAGCATGAGAGCTCCAAATCCAGGGTTGGTTAGGGTCCAGACTGGAGGCAGTAAAGAGCTGCTAGACATTTCTGCTTTGGACATGAGGTGATGTCAAAGAACTTGGGCGGTGATGTTTCCTTCCTCAGAGCAGGCAGGTTGTTATCACCCACAGTGGAGATACACCAGCTGACTTATTCATCAACACCATTGGGAGGAGGGGTATAAAAATAAGTTTCTTCCCCATTTGAGACAAAAACATTTTGATCTAGGATGGAATGGAAATTAGTACTGTGAAGTTTGTCAAGAGTAGAGAGTTCATCCTTTACCAGCTGCTGCAGTGTCCTTCTTGGGCACCTTATCCTTTTTCCTCTCTCCTTGTGATTTCTGCAATAACATGCTAAATAGGCAGGGTCTTCTCCACACCCAACAGGGCCTGTCCTTCTGAGGTGAGGCAGGAACTCTTACAGGGGTTGGGAGACTGAGAGAGGAGTGGAGGAGATAGTGGAAGTTGAGGGTTTCCTGGTATGAGGCTCCTTGAGCTGCAGGACTCTCAGAGGCTGCT